TATATATATATATATATATATCTTGTATATTGTACATAATAAAATATTGCCATAGGAGAATTTGAAACACGAAGATTCATTTATATATTTGACAGCAATTAATGGATTGTGTGCTTTAACTAGTTCATATCCACAAATGGTGATTGAGATGTTAGTACAGGAATATATTGATATGCCACAACGTATTGCAGCTAGAGAAATAACTGTAGAAACTAGGATCAAATTGGGAGAAATACTTGTAAAAGTAACCAAAAATTTAGGTATATATTAGGTATATATTCTCAAATATGTTTTTATATTTGTCACAATTCTAACATACATAATTCAATAGGTGAAATGGCATTTGCTTATAAAGCTATTTTAATAAATGGATTTTTATGTGCTACGCGAGATTCAGATGCTTTAGTACGTGCTTCTAGTCTTTCTTGTTTAGGTGAATTATGTAAGATATTAAGTTTTCGATTGGGAGATATCGTTATCGAGGTATGTTTAATTCGCTTATTTTGATAATTATTCTTTAAAAATAAAAATGATATTGCAATTCTGTTTGTGGATTTGTGTTGAGGGTAAGAAACATTATAGGGGATCATTTAGTGCATATTGGAAAAAAGAAAAAAACGTGAAAATTTGTTAGAGAGAGTGTGAACATACCCAGCCTGCAAACTCAGAATTTGATGAAATTTACATAGATTTATATAGATCGTATACCTAATTATTACTATTATGTACTTGAAAAAGGTAGTATTTGACACGTATTTTCTTTTATCGACCATCGTTCATACTAAAAGGATGAAGGAAGCTTCCAAAGTTATTCCAGTATTTAATAACTTTTTCCAAAATTAAAAAGCCGATAAAAAAGAAGTACGTGTCAGATATATTTTTGAGAACTTTCTGTCATATAAGTTTCATCAAATTCGGTGTCTGCGAGTTGGGTATGTTTCCTTGTTAGTTTTGTTTTTGGTAATTTTGCAGACTACCCTAATTCCTCCTTCTTTTTCCAAAAAATGGTTTTTTTCAGCAAAGGCTGTATTTCAATATTGGAAAGAAATATAGATCAGCGGTGTCTGAAAAGGTAATTTTGTTTTTAAAAGGCTTTTGTTAGTTTTTTGACACAAAAGCATAAAAATGATAAAAACTATAGAATGCATAAATTGATCTCGATGATTTTTGAGTATATGTAGAGAATGAGATTCGGAACTATTTTTATTTCAACAATAATTGCCGCTCGGCCTTAGTTTCCGAGATTATTTGCAAAAATGGTTGATAAAAGTACAATGCCTTGGTCTCTACATGTGAAGTAGACGTGTTGTTTCTGCAAGGGATCGCGGATTGTCTAGTGTTTCTATAAACAAATTGTGATAACTAATTTAACTAATTTCAATGATATATAAACTTAAATATGTATAGTATGGATACTGTGCGAGGAGTTAATATCGACTGGCAGTATTCAGTTAATTCTAGAATTAATTAGTCAAAACTAGTATGGACAGGAGGTTTCAGTTAAAGCTAATCATGACTGATTTCGGGCCTTAACAGTAACGCTACAAGCAACTTATTGCCACGTTTGTTAGTTGCAACAAGTTCACCCGTTATTTGTGAATCATTCTAACAGTCTCGCGAAGCATGTATAGGCAAATTTCAATCTAGCGTAGGATTCGCTTTATGTAGATATGACAGAAAGTAAGGATAACTGAAAATATTTTCAAAGGAAAACGTTGTTCAAAATTGTTTCATCGATAATATACGTGATAATCTATCCTGAGCGGTCTATGCATTCTGCGGTTTTTAAAGATTTTACGTTTTTTGTTAGAAGGTAGCAAAAGCACATTACTTTTTTAAGCTTCCTTGACCTATATTTTTTTTAATGTTGAAATCTAGCCTTGTTTGAAAAAACCGGAAAAAATAAATGGATTTAGGGCAAAGTCACTAAACTATAGAACTACCTTGTTTTATCTTTCTTTCTTTTTTCACAAAAAATCTCTGTTTGAGGCTATTATATTTTACGAGATCTATTACAAGATTATGAGGTATATACTCTCTTCCTTGTAACATATATAGTTAAATTGATTATTTAACTATTTTATTCTATAAAAATGAGAGTATATAAACTCGATTAAAAATAGTTTTAATTGAAATATAATTTTAGGTGCTCTATTGCATTAGCTGTATCATAAAGACGGATAAAAATGCTGAATGTCGACGAGCTGCGGTTATGGTTAGTACTTTGTTACTTCGTGGTCTTGGAAAGGATACGCTATTTAATCTCGGTAAAGATTTGATCGATTTATATCATGGTCTTAAATATCTACGAGACAATGACGAGGATCCAGTGCTACGTTTACACGTTCAACTAACTCTGGAAGAATTGGATCTTATAGTTCGAGACTTTCTCTTTTCTCCTCCAAAACTTGAAAAAAGAATATTTCTGCTAGATTCATAGTAATGATTGTTACTTAAAAAAAGAAAAAAGTCAGAGATGTTTACAATGTGTTGACACACACACGCATGCACGCGTGTCTTTTTTAACATACTACTTTTAAGTTGCTTGATGTTCATGATGTTCAATAAAAACGAAAAAGACCACAGTATTGTTTAACATCAGTTTTTGAAAATATATATAGTATAAACATCCCACTTTGAATTTAATAATTTTACCGTCATTTTTAACATTACTGTTTTAAAATACAATATCATACAGTTTATAATCACAAACGAGGTATACATGATATACTATATTTTTTGAATATGTACTCATTCTTTACAGATCGTTAACAAATCTCGATCGTTTTGGATGCCCTCTCAAAGACATTAAAATAAAATATTAGTTTTCTTCTCAATAATATTACTATTTCGTAAAATTACGGAAAGTAACATTTTCTTTACTGCACGATTATTTTTTTCAATCGCGGCATGTCTTTGTACTGCGTCTGTTTCGTTTCCTTTATTTTACTGATTCCCTGTCCTTATCTACGACTGTATTACATTTCACTAATTGTAAGCTCGAGGCATTGATTGCGAGTGGTAGCAGAATAGTGGGGTGGTTTATTGATTTTTCAATCAATTCTAGATTTCCATTGAAGTACGATGATTTAGGGATTTGATTGAAGGGTATCGTAGAATCCTTACGATTTATGACTTGGCATTCGAAGAGGATAGAAGCTGAAACAAAATTAATGTTAGTATATGTCAATTCGTTAAAATATATTTTATAATTTTTACTCAACAAATTAATCCATGTGTTTGTTTCTTTAATTGGATAAGACTATTCTATCAATGACATGGTAACACCTTCTAATTTAGTTTTTAATTTTTATGTCTGAATCTTATGAGGGGGCGGATTAAAAATAAGAAAAGAAATGGCGGATAGACATGTTAAAAAAATATTGCATTTGGCTAAAGTTTGATATCTAACGATAAGGGTTTTCAAGCTCACTGATTACGGATCGAAAGTGAAAAGTTTTAAAATTCGGAAAAGAAATATGTTCAAAATATGCAAATTTTCTGTTGAATTTTTCTTTTCTTTTCTTTTCTTTTTTTTTGCTTTCTTCTCTTTTGTTAAAAGGGAGTGTTCCCTGTTATTTTCCATATTTTTTATAGTAACAATTGGGAAGTGTTAAAAAACATTTATTAGATTCTGAGGAAAGTTTCGTGAATAACATAACTATTTTTCTGCGTTCTTATCGAAATATGAATAAAATTTATACTATGTTTAGAGGAAAATAACATCTGGAAATTTGAAATTGTTTGTTGAATTACAGAATTTATGCTTATAATATGTACTTTAAGGGTAAAAAGCTTCAAACACAAAGTTTTGTTTAAAAAATGAAAAATGTAAAAGTTTAACTTGTGTCTTGATAGATGAAACAGCTTATAAATTTGAACACTTACAATTAGTGAACCACGCATGCGCTTTAGCCAACTGTATGCTTTTCATCGCGCATTTCTGTTAAGTTACATGTACTAATCTTCACTAAGGACACAAAGAATATGTAAAGTTGATTTTAAACGATTAGTTATACTTGATGCTGATAATCCTATATTAGACATAGTTTATATGAAACGTGAAATTACAAATAAATGACATAATTAAACATTTTTTCTAATTGAATGGACAGAAGTAGATACCTCTCTCGTGCAGTGCACAGAATGAGAATGAGAATAACGAAATAGTAAAAGAGAAATAATAAATAAGAAAGTGTAAGGCAGCTGATTGCTAGGAGAAAAGTGGGAGACATCTGCAACGTAGCGACTTGGAAAGAGGAAGATTTCTTCGTTAGGTGAGCGAAGAGATTAAGGAGCTGAAAATTTCGTTAATTTCGTTAATTTCGTTAATTTCGTTAATTTCGTTAATTTCGTTAATTTCGAAGGTGAGTATATTTCAGTAATGGGTAACTAGCTTTCTAAATTTCAAGAGTCATTTGGTGCAGTGAAATGTATATAAAAAATGTACTATAATAGGAAAATGCTGTGTTACTAGCTGGAAAATTGCATTGTAGCTAGTTTTTTGGCGTTTTGGCCATTCTGTGTCGTCGGTCAGACACTTGTTCGATATATGGTTGCATCATGTTCGTAACTCGAATATACGATAACGTTTATGCTGTTGTGTCGTTGAATGTGGGTGCCACAGTATCCATTTGGCAGAAGTGTCTAACCGTGCTGAATGATGATTGCGTGAGAAGCGACAAGCGACAAACGAGTCTTTTATATTGCACGCAGTGTGTGTATGCCGGGGAACACAAAAGCATTTCCATGGCGAGTGGTAATTTCTGTAATTCGATCTTTTCATGTGTTAAATGCAAAAAATTGTTTTTGCAATTTGTCATTGTTTGCAATGGGCATTTTTTCGAGATTTTTTCGAGATTTTTTCGAGATTTTTTCGAGATTTTTCGAGCAGGAACTGGTTCATCCAGATTGAAAATAATTTGATTATCGCAGGAATTACTTGGTGTGTAGGAATAAAACACACAGCACGAGTAGAATTGGTGGGACATCTGTGGATATTTAATTAAGGTATAAAGTATATTATAGGAGGTTGCACAAACACACTCTCATACTATGGAGCTGTAACAAAGCGACACCTGGTCTCTGTTAGGTACACAGCTTACCACGGCAGAGTCCTCTCGGGTTCCCCAGAAACTGATTCTCGGCACACTACACTTTGCCAGCTCGAACCCCACACTCCGGTTAGGATACCGCCTAACCCTCGTACTTTATGGGATGATACTTTATGACCGCATTTGCTATTCGTGATTCCGACCTGATCTATTCTCTGATCGATATCTCAGCTATTTTTTCACTGATCTGACATTGACTCTAAACTAGACTCCAGTGGCTGCCCAGATCGTGGCTGCCACCCTTGAGATTGATGAATCGAAAAATCGGAGTCAGCCGAAGTCACAGGGCACTTGGCTCGAGCCCGAGATCTCTGTGTAGGCCCATTCCAAGTGCAGCAGAACGCCTCGTGTCTATCGAATACGATTGACACACGAGCAATAAACTATTTGGCACTTGGGTCCTAACCTTGTTCCACACAGGAACACTTGAGCTCGATAGCTGAAGGATTGTGGAAGGAATAGTGGTAATTAATAATTTTGAATTCTTCGTTAATCTTTGTTATCCCAGCGTTTCCGATTTTGCTGTAGCTGCTAGCAAAATAGTCTACAGTCTAGAGTTTGTTGCTAAAAACTTTTGCTAGAAAGCTCTCTACGAGCAGGTTTGCTATTTCTTTTTCATTAGTAGCGCGTTGCCGCTATCTTTGAATTCTTAGCTGAATTCTGGCGGGTCGTACATCCGTCACGTTACAGTTTGTCAATGTTGCCGACGAAATTAACATCGAGCAACCAGTTCAATGATCGCGAGCAAGAAGAATGACCAAGATCTGTGGAATCTTGCAATAACCTTGATTGTAATGGAGTGAAACGGTATATACGGTATCAAGGTTGCACGAGAAATTGAAGGATAGTCGAAGGTTAAATAGCGAGACAACGAGAGAGCTGAAAAACGTAAGAACGACTGATTGCTCGATCTTCCAAGTGATCGAACCGAGGAAAATCGGGAGTTGGCTAAACAGCTGGCTTAACCAAGCGGGGGCCCTGATTCGTTAAATAGGAGCAACGGCGTTTCCTCGGGCCGGAAATGCCGAAGAATTTGAGGAATTACCTTAAAAGGAAGGAAACGTGCCTGAACCGAAGACAGTGGTGGAGGAACATTTTCACTCAGATCACACGAAGATCTTCACACGAAGATCACCCGCACGTGGATCACCTGTTAAAAATGACCGCGCATATCCTTTCATGTGAAATGTAAAATAGTAGTAAATAATATTGGGAGTGTGTGATAGCTTCGACGTCCTTCTGTGGTGGTGGAAGTTTAAATAATTCGGGTCCTTATAGGTGACGACGAGTGTATACGAATCAGGGGACGTTGGCAATAGGGATATAAACAGTCCTTAACTTAACCTGGGACATTGCGGTCCTAGGGCCGCAACAATACCTTTCATCATACCGAATGTCAAGTTTGCCAGAGCTCCTATCCTTTTCTTTAATTCGTGCTTATATTTCAAAGATTATTATTCACCTATTATGCTTCTATTATTCCACGATCTATTATGATTTATGACGCTTTTACGATTTTACGATTTTACGATTTTACTCGTTCGAAAGGGAGAGGTTTTAAAGGAAGTATTCAAAGACGAGATTTCGCGATATTTCAATCGACTCTCTCAAGTATCCAGCGTAACGTTGATTTCAAGTTGTCTCAGTGTTGGTTTCAGTGTTTTTTTTTTTTTTTTTTTTATGACATTTTTATTAAAATTCGAAAGTGATCGCTATCATGTAAAATACAATAAATCCGGGATACGATAGATCCATTCGCATATGTGCTATGTGCTATATCGGTATTACATATCGTTAGCTCTGTAAGTTTCTGCTGCTACGTTGACAAGGTTTGTGCAAGCGACAAGGTTTAAAATAACGAAACTCCGATTCGATACAATATCGATACGAGTCTAAAGGCTCATAGTTTATCGTCTAAATATATCGATATCGTGTTAAAATGCATGTACACCGACAAAGATGCATATCTTGTATAGTTTATGAAATAGCGTGTAGCGACCAACGTTCTCACCCTCGCTAATAGGTGGATTCCCTGAATAGAAGGGAAGGGAAGTTCCTGTGCTACCTAAGTATCCCCGTCTAAGGCAGGCTCTGCTAGAAGACAGAAGTCGCTTTTGCCTTGACCTTGGAAGATGACGGACGTGTACAACAGGTCGATCCTTCGCAATCGAAGCCCTTTATCCAAGCGAATATACCTGAAGCATACCGAGAGTGAAAACACCTGCCCTGTGTATAGTGATATAATGCAAATGAAAAATAGTCAATAGATGAAAGTATGGAGTAGTCCCTTGGACAGGGTGGTAAATAATTGAAAAATAACATCACGAAATGATAGAAAGAGTGAAAGTAGGAACATAGATGAAGCGTTAAGAATCATAAGAGAATAAATAAGATAAATGCAGATATAAACAGCACCGTGAAACTGAAAAGTACAACAGCAAAACCAAGGCGAAACCTAATAGTTAAAAAGACCACCATGCCGCCAACCAAGAAAGCAGCATCCATCAACCAGA